AGTTAAAATAAGAGTGAGCACTGTCGATGTCATTAACCTCCCTGCTACACACACACACACACACACACACACACACACACACACACACACCATCACCACCGCCACCACCACCGTTTCACAGATGGGAAAATCGAAGCCCTGAGAGAGGGGAAGGGACACCAGCTCTTTCCACCCCACGGCCAGTCGGCTTTCTGGGTCTGACGTGGGTCATAGCAGTTCCCTCTTATTGATCGTTTACATGTGGAGAAGGCGCGCTGCGCTGTCTTATTTCATCCGTGCCGCCCATCTTTGTCCTAAACATGAGTATGTCCATTTTACAGAAGGGAAAACTGAGGCCAGATGGAGAGTTGCCCCGCCCAGGTCACACGGTGTGTTTGTGGGAGAGCTGCCCCTGTTTGTGGGCCCAGGTCAGGCAGAGCCAGCAGCTTTAGGAGACGTGTGACCCCGCTGTTGGTCTGAAGGTGCAGTTCTGACCTCAATGGGAGACCCAAAGGGTGCTGAGCCTTCTCGGCTGCCCTGGGTCCTGGAGCTTGAACCTGCCCACAGCCCTGGCCTGTGTTCCTCCGGACCTCACTGGTGACCTTGGGTAGTCGCCTCTCCCACACTGGGCCTCAGTCTCCAGCTATGAAGCAAGAGGAAGCAGCGTGAGTGACCAGGAGGGGCCTGGTAGCACTGATGGTCCAAGACTCTAGGATCTGGTCCCCCCAGGAATCTGTGACTCAGATGCTGGTATGCTCAAGCCTGAAGACTAGGACGGTGACGTTCTGGGAGAAGGAGGCCTGGACTTTGATCCGTTTCCTGGTTCTCGGTCATCTGATCCACGTTCCCAGGGCTCGAGTCACTTAGGTGATGAGCGCTCAGTCTGGGGGGTCTGAGGGCCTGTGGCCCTGCCCCAGAGGCCTGCGGGGACATAGCTAGTCCTAGAGAGTGTCAGTTTGAGCACAGGTGCACCATTTCTCTCCACTAATCACTAGCAGTGAATATTTTAGCAGCCAATTGCCACATCATTAGTCTTCAACTGACTTGTTTGGTGTGCGCAACAGGAAGTATTTTGCTTTTGGAAAACAAGAAGAATAGGTTTATTTGTGTTATGCTTATTAATTTGTGCACCCCCCACACACACACACACTTGGCTCAGGAATTCCCTCTCACCGAGCCAGGCCTGGGATCCCAGAGGCCTTGGGGCTTCGTGCTGGTGTTATGGCCATGGGGCCCGAGGTACATAAATCACTTGGCCTCTCTGAGGTTCTGTGCCTTCTCTGGGAAATACAGCTCCTCCTGCCCCTGCTCAGGGGTTTTCCTGGGGTTAGACCAGGAAACGGTACTTCTGAGGTCAGCAGCGCAGCCCCTGTCCCTTGGTCTGTGCAGTCACCCCGTGTGTGGAAGAGAAACAACAAGTACATTTTTTTAAGTGTAAGTCTATCCCACACAGTGTTTGGGACATACTTTTACCTAAAATACCAGACTTTTTCCTTTATTCTTTGTGCTTCTGAAAATCAAATGTGACAGGGCATCCTGTATTTTTTCATTCTCACCCAAGGGATGGTTTTTTAGAGATAAAGGAAGAGAGAGAGAAACATTCATCGGCTGCCTCCCATAGGCTCCCACCCCACCCCACCCCCGCCAACCAGGTATCAAACCCGCAACCTGGGCATGTGTGCTGACCAGTCATCGAACCTGCAACCTTTTGGTGCATGGGACGGCATTCCAAGCGCATCCTGTAATTTTAGTGGCTAAATCTGGCAGCCCTGAGAGCTGGCTACCCCAGGGAACACATCTCACAGCACCAGGTGCATGTCGGAGGCAGCAGATACGCCCTGGAACCTGGGGGAGGGTTGGGGGCTGGCCCGGAGGTTCGGGCCCGGCTCTGTGCCCCTGGCTGATGTCACCACCGTCCATCTCCTCGTCTGCCAGGAGCAGCTGCAGCTGTACTGGGCCATGAACTCCACCTTCGAGCTCTGTAAGATCTGTGCTGAGGCCAACAAGGACGTGAGGATCGAGCCCTGTGGGCACCTGCTGTGTAGCCGCTGTCTGGCCGCCTGGCAGGTGGGTCTCCCCTATGCCTCAGGGATCAGATGGGAAAACTGAGGCCCAAGAAAGCGGGGACTCGCTCAGGGTCACTCAGGAGCGAGGGCCTGGAGCCTGGATGCCTGTGTCTGTGTGTCTGTCCCTGTCTCACTCTGCGGCTGTTACCTCTCTCCTTCTCCAGCTACATTATTCATGGAAAGAGCTCCTCCCTTCCCTCGCGGGGCAACCTGGGGCCAGTGGCTTCACCCCTCTGAGCCTCTGCCTCGTCTCTGGAGAACGGAGCTGACCCTGGTCACCTCCCGGGCCCACAGTGAGGGTCCAAGCCCTGCCCACAGCGAAGGCCCCTTGGGGAGCGGAGCTGAGGCCGGTGCATGACATCACCTACTTTTTACTGTAATGTAAATGCCTGACATTAAGCTGAGTCATCCATTTCAAAGATACCCATTTCCAATAAACAAATTGCCGGATGTATGACACAGCAAAACTAAGAGATAAGGAACCAGGCTGCCCCCACCCATGAAGTTCCCCTTTATTTTATTTATTTATTTAATACTAGAGGCCCGGTGCAGGAATTTGTGCACGGCTGGGGGCGGGCCCGGCATGGGGGTCAAACAGTGTTGAGGGGCCCTGGGAGGGCTCCAGGGCGTGTCCAGCTTCTCTTGCTCAGTCCCAATCAGCCGGACCCCAGCAGCAAGCTAACCTATCTGTTGGAGCATCTGCCCTCTGCAGTGCACATATAGCGACTGGTCAACCTTTGACTGTCTGCCCCCTGGTGGTCAGTGCACGTCATAGTGAGTGGCTGAACAGTCTTAGCATATTAAGCTTGGATTGGTTGAACGGAGGACCGGACATTTAAAAAATTGATTAGAGAAAGAAACATTGATGAGTTGCCTACTCTGTGCCCCCGAGGGATGGAGCTGGGATCGAGCCCACAACCCAGGCATGTACCCTAACCGGGTGGGACCTGCAACCCTTTTGTTGTACCGGAAGATGCTCCAGCCAGCTGTGCCAACCGCCCAGGGCCACTCCCATGCTTGAAATTCAGCAATGAAAAGTGAACCCTTGCCCAACTGGTGTGGCTCAGTGATTGAGCATCGACCTTTGAACCAGGAGGGCTTGATCCCCAGTGGGGGGTACACAGGAGGCAGCCAATCCATGATTCTCTCTCATCATTGATGTTTCTCTCTCCCTCTCCCTTCCTCTCTGGAATCAATTTTTTAAAAAATGTTAAGAGATCAATCAAAGGACTTGTATGCATGCAATTAAGCCAAACCAATGGACACAGACAACAGGGGGATGAGAGTATGAGTGCGGGGCGGGTGAGAGGTTGGGGGTTAATG